TCAGCCCCGGCAGCCACGTTTCCCCGACTCGGGAGGACGGACGGGGGTCCCCGCGGACCCGCACCAGCTCCCCGGCTGACGTCCTGCGTGACCTGGCGCGTGGGAAGCTCAGATACGCGTGGGGACCCCCCCTGGGGCCGAAGCACCTGCTGCTCGGAGGTCGCCTGCGCCCCACGGACGCCCTGTTTCTTTTCCATCCCGTGTCCCCCAAAGGTTTCCCATCGTCCTGTGTCCCTCCCCAAAGGGCCCCACCCTCCCATGTTCACCTGGTCCATGGTAGACACTCAACCACTGCACCACACCAGCTGGGCTGTGTGTGTTTGTTAATCCTCACGTGGACGCTTTTTCCATGAGTCTTTAGAGAGAGTAGAGGGAGGAAGGGACGGGCAGAGAGAGGCATCGTGGTGAAGCGTCTGTGTACTCGGTTCAGACTCAGGTCCCGGTTTGGGGCCTCCTGCTACCGAGGAGACCTGGTCGGCACATTCCCACGGCTCTTCCCTGCTGGGCTCTGGACTCGGCGTCTCCGTCGCCTTTTACTGGTTGGGCTCACTCAGTGGTGATGGCAGGCGAGGAGACAGCTCTGTGACGAAGGCCATGGCTTTCCTTTGGAAAACTGGGCAGGACACAGCCTATCCTGTATAATCCTATAGAATAAAAGCTTAATATGCTAAGTGTCCTGTCATTCGGTTGGCCGTTCAACTAATCAAAGCATAATATGCTAATGATATGTTAAGGCTGCTCAACTGCTTGCTGTGACGTGCACTGACCACCAAGGGGCAGACAGTCGACCCGTCGACCAGTCGCTATGACCTGCACTGACCACCAGGGGGCAGACGCTCCAACTGGTAGGTTAGTTTGTTGCTGGGGTCTAACAGATTGGGACTGAGTGAGATGGGCTGGACACGCCCTGGAGCCCTCCTGCGGTCCCTCCCCAGCCGGCCAACCTCCTACATCCCTCCCTGGCCCCGATCATGCACCGCTGGGGTCCTTCAGCCTGGCCTGTGCCCTCTCACAATCCAGGACCCCTCGGGGGATGTCAGAGAGCTGGTTTTGACCTGATAGCAGAACGACTGGTTGCTATGACTTGCACTGACCAACAGGGGGCAGATGATTGATGCAGGAGCTGCCCCTTGGTGGTCAGTGCGCTTCCACAGGGGGAGTGCCGCTCAGCCAGAAGCCGGGCTCATAGCTGGTGAGCGCAGCGGGGGTGGTGGGAGAGCTAGCGATGTCCAACTGTGAGAGGGCACAGGCCGGGCTAAGGGAACACCCCCAAGGAGTGCATAAAATTTGTGCACTGGGCCTCTAGTTTTTAAAATAAATCTCTCTCTCCTGCCACAGATTACAACCTATAGGTTTTATTTATAAGATGACTTTTT